TAGTTACAGGCTAAGGAGAGCAATGTGCTGCTGGAAGTGGGCTTTGATGACTAAAGCTGCCTGCCAACCCAGGCATCACATAGCACAGGTGAAAAATAATGCTTTTGGGGTGGGATTTTCCAGAGTGGGATTTAAAATGAAACAAACCCAAGAAACATATATACAAACAAATGGAAAAACAACCAAACAAAAAAAAACCCAAACACACAAAAAAAACCCAACCAAACAAAAAAAAAACCAAACAAACAAAAAAAACCCAACCAAACAAAAAACACAACAGCAAAGAACTTGGAATGAAACTTGGAAAGAGGATAGGGAGTACCTGAGCTCAGCATTTCGTGGCATAGGCAGAGGAGGAGGAGGGAGGAAGATGCTCCACCAGCCTGAGCTGGAGATGAAACGTGCAATGGGTGACCTGAGAAGTGTCTCAGGAGAGGCACCACCCACAGGTGAGAGCACAGTGAGATTCAAACAGAGCAAGACCTATCACAAGGCTGTATGATCCTCCATTCAAGCTGGAATTTGACCATATTCAATGAAGAGTCATTGATTTTATAAACTTCCATTGTAGCATAACACTGTTTTCTGCTAGGGTTGAAGAGAAATCCAACACAAAGTCCTCAAAGGTTTCTGACTGCTACTCAAAGTGATGTTTTTCAGGAATTATTCCCTCCTACCCACAAACATACAATGAACAGGTATCAGGGAAGCCCAAGGGCGAATCCCAGACAAGACACCAGTATTTGAGAACAAAAGGTTCATATTGTCCAAAGCCCAGCTTGTCAGCATTTACTTTGTAGCTATCCCTGGTTTGTTTCTGGCTTTTCTTTTAAGAAGTAACTTTGCAAAAATCGGTACTTTTGTACCTATTTGACAGCTCCCATCTGCTGGCCCAATTTATATCCACCGAATCTGCTAACAAAATCAAGTTTTTACTGCTAGCCACACTGCAAAGCTTATAAAGCTGTGGGAAAAGTCTACACTGACACTAATCCCCACCAGCAATGGGGACATCCAGGGCTGCCCTTCAGAAACATCACTGGTAAGGAAACATCCCTGTCTGACCACCCAGGAGCTGCTCTGGCAGTCACTCTCACACCACCTGAGCTGGAACAGAGGCTCCTTTTCAGCTGCTCCCCTCACACAGTCACACCAGGTTTCCCCACCGGCTCCACCCCAGGTTTCCCAGAGTCTCAAGTGTCCATATCCTTAAAATAATTTAATACTGATGCAGTAAGTAAACAACAAATCAACAGCTCAAGCTGGTTGCTCTGAGGAGGGACCCGGAACAAAGGAACCCCTGGGTTTTTATCCCTTCGCAGTCTAAGCATGGGAAAAGTCTGGGGGTTGTTGGCTCCTGCTGTGTCTCTGATACATATATTTTATATATATGTATTTTTAGAGGATTCTTCAATTATATACCACTATTCATTTCTTAATTCTAAAACTCAAACAAAACTAGATCCTCACGAAACTGTGCTTTTTGCCAGTTACACCCTCACCCCAGTTTTCCATCATTTCTTCAATTCTGGAGCACGGGAAGGAAGGCTACACAGAGCCACAGGACAGTGCTTAAGGCTACGGAACACATTTACAAAGCTTTTGGCATACAAGACAACACATTAAAAAACAGAAAACCCCCCAAAAAACCCGCAAACAACACCCTAGCCCTCCAAACCAACTTACAGTGAAGCAGTAAGGCAGTTCCTGCAGGCTTCCAGAATTCGGGACCCGACAGTGGATGCAAAACGCCTTGAAACCAACAACATACACACCCTCTAGTGGTTAAACTGCCTCTCCTGTTACATGTTTTCCAGGATAAGTTTAAAGGATTAAGAGAATTTTAGATGCAGATGCCCTGCCTAGAGAGTTTAACTCATTTACTCAAACATTTACATAAGGTACGAGTGCCACACTCCATACCCCAAGGTAACTGCAGGCACAGTGCTTAAGTACCCCTGAACAGGACCTGAAAATAACTCTTAATTGGCACCAGGTGTTCCAATGTAATTACAACCATGATGCCCATCAGCTGTTTCATTTCATTGTCTCTCACAACTGCCAAGCAACACCTGAAAGGGCAAGGAGAAAAACCAAGTTAGCCCCAACACCCTTCACAGCTGCAGTTTGGACAGCTTTCAATCAAACATTAAAGAGAACCTTCTGGGTTTTGATCCTTCTGGAGGAAAACTGCCACTTTCTAGGTGTTCACTGAGCCCTGACCTGTCCCAAAGTTATGATTATTTTTTTTCTGTGTCCCAGTTAGAGGGATGGCTTTGTCTTCTCCAATACTTTTTCCATTCAGAGAAGTAACCTCCTAGCAGGAAAGAGGGGTTTTGTTAAAAAAAAAAAAAAGTTATGTTTTGGGGGCTTTATGGTGTGCAGATTTGGTTTTGTTTTTATTTATTTTATAGAGATGACTCTTGTATACAAACACGTATTCCCAACAAACGATGGCAATGGATGCTGTCACAAACACATGATGGTAAAGCAAACCTGGGAAATCCAATGGAAACACCCATTATATAGAGTGCACAAAAAAGAGGAGAAAGAGGGAGAGAGAAAGTGCAGGTATATTCAAGAAAAACTTTTTCTCAACCATCTTCCTGTATTAAAAAGAAACCAATTATACTTGCAAGTCACTTGCAGAAAATTTTAATAATTTGCCAAATATACAGCTATTAGAATGACCCCAAATATCGCTTCTCAAGTTACAAAAGTTGGTAGATAGCACAGTACAATGTCCTATGAAATAAACACAGGTAACATTAACAATACCTCCTATGGTCCAAGAATGGCAGAAAACAACAAATGAAATTACAAACACATACAGAGAAGATTGAGGGGTGGCTTTAGACACTTAAATCAAAGAAACTGAGACCAGACTAGACTAGATACATTCATCCATCAAGCATAATTAACATAGAATTTTAAGAGTTTAAAACCCATTAACAACACAGCATCAGGTGCAAGTTTCACATGCTTTCATCTACTTTCCAGTACAGTTCCCAGAGGATTAAAGTGCCTTTGTGCACTCTAGTTTCATCTAGAATCAGATGCAACACACCTTGTATTTGGAAGTTACTTCATAGGTCACTTTTTTTGAAAAAAAAAAAAGTAAAGTAACTATTTGAACGAAGGTACACAATTCAAACTAAGGCTGTTTTAAAATACCTTTCTTCTGACCCTTTGTTACTAAATGTCACGTAACAAATTCCAAACCCACAGGGCCCACCTCCCCCAAATGAGACCGGAGTAAAAGATACCTGCTGAAACATCTTTCCTGCTGTACAACCCTTAGCTTTGTTAACTTTCCCCTTTCAAACACATTTGCTCCCTTTGGATGGTAATTTTCTCCTGCAGCATCCATTCCACACTGCTCTGGACGTGAGCACAGGCAGGGTCTGGCCTGTGGCTGTGGAGGTGAACGCACCTCCCAGGTCACATCCTACCGTAACCCCACCAATGTGCACAGCACGTTCCCCCTGCGAGACACCTGCTCAGTCCTCCCCAGGAGCTCTCCCCATTGCCCCTTCCAGAGCTCAACACCAACTGCAGCAAGGGAAGGAAAACCCCAGCGCAGTTCAGCTGTCACTCACCTTGCCCCCCCAGAAAAGTCCTCTTCAAAGCCCAGGGGGAGAAGTTTCATAAAGCGTCCGATCCAGCCGTCCATCGGAGCACTCCCCGCTCCCACTCCCACCTCCCACTGGCAGCCACTCCTGCTCTTTCAGAGGAGTGTGCATTCACACAGCACCTGAGGCATTTTGATGGTGTTTCAAAATACCAGCATTTTAAGAGCAGTTACGGGGCACGAGCTTTTTGAGGAAGTAAGAATCTCTATTAAAACACCCCACCGTGATGCTACAGAAGGCAGAGGGGCAAGGGCAAAGAAGGCACTCACAGGAGGAAAGAAACCCAGGAGAAACGAGGAGGATGAACAGCTAATCACAACTTTTAAGCAGCAGGTGTGGATGCAAGTCGCTGCTCCGCCGGTGTCCTCCTACATCCGACAGCGCTTCCCATCGTGAAGTGAGCAGGTAATTCCAACGATTTTAGGATCAGGCTGTCAGCACCCCAGTGCAGGGGATGCCTTCCCTTCCCCACAGCTGCTGTTACACCCGAAAAGGCCCACTTTAAACTCTGCCCAGTTGAATCAGATCAGGAGCTCTGTGCAGGTGAGGAAGTTTTACAGGGTCTCTAGATGTGTGTGACATATTAACATCACTTAAAATATCATGTGCACTGAAGTATCTCAAGAACATGTGCACTCTGTTAACCAAATTACTGGAAATTAGTGATTTCCTAATCTACTGAAGACTTTAGAAGTTCTCCATGAAATTGTGAGGTTATGGAAAAGAACACTGGCTATGCAGTACAGTAGGAAAAAAGAACAGTATAAGTTTCATGTGAATCACAACTACAAGCAAAGTCTCCAGTTCAGTTCATAAAACAAATTGATTAAAACATTTTAAACATTTCCTAGCGGTACAATAAATTCCAACGTAGTTTATGCAACAAATTTCACCATATCCAAAAATACCATATATGTAAATGCTTTTTTTTTTAATAAAACTTTATACAAACCAAGCTCTCCTTAGGTAAGCCTATTCACACTTCTCCTAGGTAGGAGGGGCTTCAAAAGCATATATTCTTATAGTCCAAGAGTGACAACGCTGCACGAGCCTTCCCTTTCGACAGTCAGCTTTGCTAAACCCAAGTTTTATTGCTTAAAAATCAAATGACATGTTTTCCTCAGCAGCCCCAGCACCCAGCTACACCACGTTAGTCTGAGGTAGGGACCTCATTTTATGGGATAGAAATACCCACAAGCCTTGTTATCCATTCCCAGGATGATTTCCACACAGCAGCTGCCTGTCCTGTTCCCATCTCCAACTGTAACTGAAAACAATCGGATCAGATACGAGACACCAAGTCTGAAATGTGCAAGAACAATGTAAATATAAGGGCTTTGCAGGCTTAGACTCACAGCTGGTAGGTACTACGCTCAAACACCTCTACAGCAAGCTTTATTTACAGAACTTCCAACAAAAAACACTATTGTCTCTCAAGCTACGTTTTTAAATTAACAGAAATACATCCATAATAACTACTGGTACAAAAAAAAAAACAACATGATAAAATTAATTTTTTTATTCAAAATATTCTGACAGGTTGACAATATTCCAGGTGCATTACAAACACTGCCATAGCCAACGAAACAATCAATACTTAAAGAGCATTCAAACACTGAGGAAGTTTATCCTAAAGCAGAAACAGGACGGTTCGTGGTACCAAGAGCATACAGATAATTTTCCAATAACTGACTTCTTTGAGGCAAATGTATGATTTTCTCTGGCACAAAATGGATTAAAATCCGGAAGAGATGAATTACAGAGGACAAAAATGATGATGTTGCCCGTATTTTCTATAAAACCTTGTAAATTCATCATACAAGGCCACTTAAGCCTGGACTACTCTAGTGTTATGGGATAGAACAACGAAATCATAACAGAGAAACCAGCATCAAAGCAAAGAAAACCACAAACTCTTTCTAGAATATGGCTTAAATTAATTCACAGAGATTGGGGAATATATTAACTATATGGTGCAAGAGAAATAACAGGTAGGGGAAAAAAAAAAAAAAAAGAAGTCCCTTTCTTTCTGGTACTTTCCCCTCAGCCTTCACTGTAATTCACGTGAAATTGTCAACAAAATTATACTGCCCACCCCCCCTTCCTCTGCAAGCCCCTTTTCCCACACTTCACAGACACTGTTACCAACAGTTGGTTTAATTCCTGAATGCTCTGGCCAAGGGGAGCTCCGAAGTTCAAACAATGCAGTTCTACCACACAGCGACACCCTGTTCCTTCCAGCCAACCCCCACGTTCTCAATTAAAAACTTCAGCTTTATTTAAAAACAGCCTACTTTGCTCGAAAAAGTATGAATTCCTTTCTAACACAGAAAAGGGGTGTCAGATGAAGAACCTGCCAAGACGCGTGCACAGTGCAGAACGCTGTGCAGAGAGAGCAGCGAGGTCAAGTCCACATGGAAAAGACACACAATTCCAAAACGTTTCGGTCCCGGGGCTTGCTTTTGAAGCATTAAAATCCCGCTCTGCGGACGGGCAAGGCTCGGCCGTCCCCACTTTCCAAAGAGCTCCCTGCCCGCGCGTGGCGGGCACAGCCGCGTACGCAGCGCAATCCGATCGCGAGGATTCCATAAAACAGCTTGATTTTTTTTTTCCCCCAAGGAAAGGAAAGGAACGGGACAGCTCTCAAAACGACACAGCTCTCCCGTGTGTCATTCAAAGAAGCCAGTGGCTGCTGTAGCCCGGGGTGGGAGAGCCACAGCTCTACCAGCATGAGCGGTGGCACAGCCGGTGGCTCCGGGGCCGAACCATCTCCACAGGTGAGTCCTTCTCCCGTGCTGCTCACGGCTCCAGTCGGTGCTCCCCGGCAGCAGAGGTGGCAAATGCTTGTTGGAAGAAGGCAAGAGGCTTACTCAAAACGCTCTGTTCCGTTCGTTTGCCTCTTACAGCGATGTTTTTGGAGAAGGGACGTGAGAACAGTGGCGTGAGGAGGCATTTCCCTTAATCACAGCATCAGACACTCCATGAACTGATTGGCTTAATCTCCTAAAACAAAATTACTTCCTGGAATATTTTGCATTTGCATACCTTTGCTCTCTTAGGAACTAACAGTTTCTCTAGAAGTTGTGCAGTTTAAGCCTGTTTAAGGTATTTTACTCCAGCATTTTCTTAGCACCTCAACACAAATTACGTGGTTGATCATCCGTGGGGAACACTGGCTACAAACACCCACAAAGGGGGAAGGGCCCCCACTCAGAGCTGAACGAACAGCACTATCTGCCCGTGACACTTTTTTTGATGCTTCAGGCATCAAACTGCTGACTCAGCATGGGATTCCTCTCCAAGCAGGGTTACTCCAGTTATTCAAATACAAGTAAACACAAAGGCAGTGCTGAGGACATCCATCCTGCACCTTACAGCTTTCAGTCTATTTTCTAAACACTTGTTAATGGAGATGAGGCTCAGTGTCAAGGCTGAGTGGGCAAATGTCATCTATGCTAAAGTCATTATAGGAACTAACATAACCCCTGCTTCTGGTTGTCCTCGGATTTAAGACAACCATATACACTTCATTCCATTAATTCACCTATCCTGCTTTATATCTCAAGTATCTTCATCCTTTCACACTCCCTAATTAGCTATCAATTATTTTCCTGAGTGAAATATAAAAAGTTAAACCCTTCTACCAAAAGTACAAAGACAAATAAAATATAGAACAATACAAACCCAGTAATACAGCATTACAAGTGCAGAAATTCTTCACGTTGTTGCTCTTTACCATTGGCCCCAATAAAAAAAAAACATAGCAAAGAATTTAGTTATCCAAAATATTTTGAAGTACTGTGATTAGATTTTTCAGGCCATAAATGTAGCCCTCATCCTTTGCGTTGCTGGGAAACACGTGAGCAAAATCGATCATCCGGACTTCAACGTTTGCGCTCTCCTTGGTCTCTGCTGGCATGTGATAGAAAACTTTTTCCAGTTGGGGTAGAACGTTTCCATTCAGGTGCTCCTGGGCAATGCACGTGCTGCTTTTCCACACGCTGCCTCGCTCCAAGTTTTCAACTTGCAGCGAGAGCTGACCGTGGTGCCTCTTCGAGCACGACTTTTTGTGAAGTGCGTAAAACTTGGACAAGCCTTTACTTACAGAGGCTTCAATTTTTCCATTCTCCGTAGAATTTATGACGTGAATGTTGTTGTTACACTCCAGTACGTCTCCACCCGACAGCACGCCTTTGGGCACCCCTCTCTTCTCCACCAAGGTGACATCGTTCAGCCGCACGGTTGTCGCCTGACACGAACCCTCGTAGACAAAAAGCAACGAGCTTGCGTAAAAGTTGAGCTGCGTCTGGCCCTCAAACCACTCCAAAATCTTCTCAATCTTCTGAATGCTGGCAGCTACCACATCTTTCCTCAGGCAGTACCCACTGTGGAAAAACCTGGAGATGCCTGCAAGAAATAAGACGCATTTTGGGGATTATTTTCGCCTCTGAAAGGAAAAACAAACAATTTTCATTGCTTTTGGGATGAGGACAGTTCTTATTTGAAGGAATACACAGCATTCATGGGCCTCTTGCCTCGGGCTACTGACCCCACAGAGCTCAACCTGCAGCTCCACTGAGAAGTGATGGGAGCAGGCAGTGAAGGAGCACAAATTCCTCCTTCCCTTTAAACCAAGGAAATGGGGATTTTATATATAGTTTCCTTTCAGGCAATTATTAACTAAACCTGAAGTGGACCAAGGAATTCTGAATACCTTCAGTCACCTCACCTGCTGTATAACACCACTTGCTTGGGCTTGGATTGTAAGTAAAACTAAATGTTATCAAGCAAACAGTGAAAGAACATGGTTCCTGCTCCCCAAGTTAATTTAGTAAGCGTCTGGACAGTTTGGGGCAAGTGTTAAACCCATTAAATTTTCCACAGATAAACAGTCTCAAGCAGCTTGAGTGTGTTGGTGTGTGCCCTTCTGACCTTTGGTAGGGAACAGATTAACAGGTGTCAACTGCTGAGCAGTTTGCATTAGTTATCACCAAACAGCTGTGTGATGGCAGCATTTTTATTTCTGGTTAATGCAGAGCAACGTGTGGATTGACTTCCACTGAGAAGATCCCTTGAACTGAAGGATGCACTGGTAGTAGCTTTCTAATATAAAAGACACTTGGATATTCACAGAAGACAACTAGACATAAAAAAAATATACAAACATTTAATACTTTGAAAAGATTTCTATTTCATTATAGTTTCAAAGCCGCAAAGAAGTTGAATTCTACAACTATCCCCCCCTCATTAGTAGTAAAAGAGACATGAGGAGGAAATTCCTGTGGCCTGCACACTGTTACAGCCAACTGTGCTCTTAGTTTCAGACTGACAGGTAGCTCAGATTATACAGGGAACAGCTAAAGGCCCACCTGGCATGAGGACGACAAAGGACTTTTAAAATGGGAACACACTTTTTCCATCCAGTTCTATAAATAAGCAAATAAATGAAAAATATCCAAGAGCGTTGAACTGTGACACCTGAATCCCCTTACCATCCTTTACTGTTTCCTTGGTCAAGTTCCTTCCATAGTGTTGGTTTTGTGTCTCGTAGCTGTCTGAAGACACGTGGTACACCTGAAAGAGAGAAGGAGGGGGGATCTCCATATGTATTTCGAAACACCAGTACTTCTGCAGAGCAGGAGACACCTCACAGACAGGCCACAAAACCCTGGGCACCATCCAGCCCTTGCAGTTTTTAAGTTTCTTGCACTGGCCAGCACTGCCCTCCAGTGCTCTCCAAACCCCTCCCTTCAGCCCTTGGGCTCCAAGCTACAGCAATGTACCCACTACAGGGAACTTGTTTTATATGGCCCCTGCCTTGCAAATCAAAGAGGAGACCTGAATCTATCACACTCCCACTCGTGTCACTGTGGATGTTAAATCAGGAAGACGTAACAAGCAAAAATTTCAACGCAATTGTTTCGAGTTCTTGGAACTATAAAACTACCAGCACGAGGGCAAAACAGAACTACCAGCAAGGCCCAGCTTGTAAGACCCATCCCAAATTGTAACTGTCAGCACAAATGAGGCTGCACTGAATAAATGACAGCAGCTGAGCAAAAGCTGGGTTCCAGCCTCGACAGCTGTACATGAGCTCTCATCTGAAAAGGAGACAACTCACACAGGTACAGTTTTGTCCATATCAGGAATTGTACAAGCTTAAGAACTTCATTCGAAAATGTTTTACATGTAGACACGTTTTCTCTCTAACTGAAATCATTTCCACAGCAGAAACATGCCAGGCAGATAGGCCCAAGTATAATTTGTTTATGAGAGTGTAGACAACTCTCATTTGCAGAAATAATGGTGTTACCAAGCAGGCAGTTTTCTCTGGCAGGAACTCCGTGCTTGGCACTTGTTCAGACCACCCAACTCCACGGCACCCATCCCAGCCACACCATTCCCTTCACCCCCCATAAAGAGAGAGGATCCCATGGAAAGCAAGGATAAGGGCACACTGGTGAGGTGCCTGCTCCTGAATCCCTGCTTTGGGGGCTCCTTCTTGCTGTGGCCAACAAATGAAGCCCAGGACAGTGAAACAGCAGCACGCAGAAAGGAGCGGTACGGGAGCAATAAAGAAAGAAAACAGAACTCCCTGTTTTCATTGCAGCCCTTCACCTCAAAACCTCTCTCCCCCATCCAAACCACAACAAATCCATTTGCACACAGGTCCCCACCTCCTGCTTCACAAAGTAGCTGGGAAGAACAGCCTCAAATAGTTCTTATTTTGACAACAGGACAGGAATAATTAAATTCAAAGTCCCCAAGGAACTTAAACCATAGTCTGTGGAAACTGATTTAAGCCATCAACCATTAAGCAAAGTGTCAGTAAATCATTCTGGTTATTCTAAAGAAATAAGAGCTGTAAGCCTGAATGTTTAAACTCATTTGGTAGCAGAGACACTTTCCACTGCTATGACCCCTCTTTTCAGTGTTATGATATTTGGAGAAACTGAGGCCTCAATGTGTATGAACTGCAGAAAACCACAGCAGAGATGAATTATTCTAAAACTGCATTTGACCACTGTGATTTTGGGTTCACAAGAACATTAACTTTTCTCCACTTGGGTTTTTTGGTTTTTTCCCAAAGCTCATGAAAGAAGTATAGCATACTACACAGGAATCCAAAGATTACTTATGTTAACACTTCAGGTACCCAAGTAACTTTCAGAAACGTGTGAGAAGTTTCAAAAACCTTTTAAAGAGCTACAAGTCAAAGGCAGCTAAATAAAAAATGAAGAAAAAACATATTGCTTAGAAAGAGAACAAAGACTCTGATGACAACATCTAAGTTCTCACTGTGTCTTAATCTGAGATTAAAACGAGTAAAATGAGATTAAACATTCTCATGTAGTCAGCCTAGAGGCAGCTTCCTACAGACATCAGCAGTGCAGCAGTTCCTGATGGAATCATCTTGTTTACCAGGACCAGAACCTTATCTCTTCCCGTAGGAGCTGCAGTTTTTGTGACAGGGGCACCAGCTCAAAAATGCTGATTAAGATCTGCAAGCTCACTTTGTTTTCCAAAGAAATGCTGAAGCAGTACCTCAGCCCCTGGGCTTCTGAGCTGGGTTTCCCATGAAGTCAGCCCACCTCTCCTCAAAATCTGCACAAAACCATTCCCCCCCAAAATGTCTTTCTGTATAGTTTACAAACACCCAGGCAGATGTGCCTGTTTTGGCACTAACATTGCATTTTTAACTATACAAAATGGTCAGTGACAAACTACCAAGTCCCACACCCACGCCACAAGTGTTTATTTGTGTATGTAGTTAACTGCCTTAGGCACTCGGAACACTCTCAGTCACCAGCAGGCTTGGTGGTGTTAAAGGACAGCAGATGTGGATCATCACGAAAGTGTCCTCAGTGTTAGCTGAAGAGCTGTCTCTTCACACTGCCTCCAGCCTTTGCTCAGCTGCAGGGAAGAGTCTGGAAGAAACACTCCTGGAAAACCTCACTCAAATACAAATATATTAAGCCCCATTCTGAAAGCCAGGGAACAGAAACCCACCTCAAACAGAAATAATCTCTCATCAGTTCTTGCTCCACCATCACCTACCCCCCAAAAACAACGATGGCTCTGCCAGAGGAGCAGGAGACCGATATCAACTTCCTATTAGACAGACCTCTTGCTTCACTGTGCTTTTGTTCATGCTGTCACCTCCACTAACCTGCTACTAACTCTTCCCAAAATTACATTTCCTTTCAACCAAGCTTTTTCTGTATCCCTATTGTTGCTGCTGCCTGTACCAGCCCATTTCTGTCAGAAAGATGATAAGTCAGATCCTTACCAAGAGCTAAGAAATGATTAGACAGGGAAATCTCATTTCTCATCCATATGCCACAGCTTGTTATGTGTTTGCTCTGTATTCACAGGGAGGTTCACTGCAGAGTGCAAGACAAAGAAAACTCTATGAGCTGCAAAACACTGCCTCCTGCTTCATCAGTCATTTTTATATATCCTCAGTATGCAAGATCAGAGCTGTTCTGGCTGACAATGTGAAGGCTCCTCTGGGTGCCTCCAAGCAGCTCCCACTCAGCCAGGTTCCTGCACAATCACCTCTGGAATCCAGCACGGTAACAGGTTCAGGCTTTCAATTGGCAGCAGCAGTGACTCTGTACGGGCAGCACACCAAAAAAATCACAGTTTGGAAACCTTGTGTCTTCAGCTTTAGGATATTAAACTCAGGAAAGTAGGTATCAAATGTCATGTAATATTAATTATGGTAATTCAGTACCAACTTCCGTGGTGAGGCAGAAAAATGTACACACTGTTCAAATACTTACCTGGGGCAGCTCCCTGACTTCCAGAAAGTACAATTTAAATACATGTTAAGACTACTATTTCCCGTTTGGGGGACTGCTAGCACAAACAAAAATCTCCATTCAGTAAACTCGCAGAGCTGTCTCACATCTGCCAAAAATATCCACTAAATCCACACAACTGAAACCCAGGAAAACAACCCCGACCTATTTGAGCAGGCCTGGTACAGCACAACAGAGGGCACCTGCCTGCAGAGTGAAAATACATTCTCTAATTTGAGATCCCTGCAATGTTCTCACGCTATCACTGCTGCTGAGAGCAGGCCCAGTTATCCCAAACTATTTATTTAAACAACACCTCCCATAATTCTGACTTTTATTTTTTTAAACTCACGTTGTTGTTGCTAGATAATGAAACACAATGTACACAATGAAAGTACACACATCCCATCCCTGATTGCTGCTGCTCTGAAAATTCACCATTTCTTTTATGCCTCCTTTTCATATAATAAAAAAAATACCTGCTCTGGGGTTTGGAGGAGTTTTTTTCCAGAGCTTTTGGTTAGTTCCTTTGGTTTGCTATGAGGTTTTTGTGTTTTGTTGGTTGGGAAGGTGGTTTGTTTGTTTGGGTTTTAGTTTTTGCTTTGCTTTGTCTTCCTGTTTTCTGAAACATCAAAGCTCGAATTAGACTTAAAAATGTAAAAAACCCAGTTCTGGTAATTTTTTAGTGCAGAAGAATCTGAACACTAGACTTGGTATTTAATATCTTCATTACTCCTCCCTTCCTAAATCTTGTTATTAACAGATCAGAGCTTATGAAACTTATCACAATACTAGAAAGAGTTCATGAAGAACTCATAAAACAGACTCAGCTATAGTCAGTTTGAAAAAAAACCCCGCAGAAACATGTGCTGTAGATTAGGAAATTCACTTCTAAACCCACTTTGATTATTAGACTTTACTGCCTGCATGTTCACAGGTACACACAACAGAGGTCAATGACGGATTACACTGCTTCAAAAAGCGTTTCAGAAATATTGTGGAATAGATTGCAATCGAGATCTTCTGGAAAAAAAAAGGACACCTGCAGAAACTGGGAACTGTGGATTCCAAATGGACTGCGAATCTGAAATGAGAGCACAGCCCACACGTTCTGCTTGTACTCAACAGCAAGCAGAATGATCTGTGCTCAAGAGATTTCTTATCTATGTGTGTGTCTACTACCGAAACCGTATTACAATTTGTGGTTTTGCTATTGCAACAGAACCTGAGATTTCCAGCTAATATTTAAACTCTCACCACTTCAATAACAAAACATGTCCAATCTCACAGAATCTCCAAATGGTTTGGTTTCAAAAGGACCTTAAAAGACAATCCAGTTCCAATCCACTGCCACCTTCCACTAGACCAGAGACACCTTCCACTAGACCAGGCTGCCCTGTCCAACCTGGCCTTGGACGCTTTCAGGGATGGGGCATCTGTTAAAGAAAGGAACTTCTCCACTAAATATGGCAATGTGGGTTTAGCCAGTGTTATTTCAGTAACTTTATTTTCTAAATGCATTTCCATGCATTTGTTCTGTCTGTTCAGTGTCTAAGATAAATATGTGTTAGCATGCCAAATGCCAGAACTATGTACATAAATTATTGCTGTGCCAGACAGGAGACTCACTTTTTAAGGGCAAACCATCCATATCTGATATATGAACAGATGACTGCTTATTTACCAGTGCATCAAAAAAAGCTGTATCAATAGCTTTGGAGATAAAAACACACTCTTAAGTAAGTTTTGGGGTAAAACCCCCACCTGTGACACTTTTTTTTGTTTGTATCTCTTTATGACAACTTATACCACAGCTGCTTTAGAAAAAACCATTCTGTTTCTCCCAGCCCTCTCTTTCTTGCCCTTCTAAAATAGAAACTTATGAGACAAGCCCACCTACATATTAAAAATAACACTGAATGGACTAATTCCTGAATCATGTTACACCATGTTTTGTCCAACAAACACGAGCAAACTTCATCCACCACGTGAGCTGTTCTGGGCAGTGCATGTGCATTCAGGAAAATGTTTTATAGTTTGGCTGGAACCTTGCAAAAATAAAGCAAGCAGACAGGCCATAATCAAGAGGCAGAGAAACTGCCTCGTGAATCCAGACTTTGCCAAGCGTTGCGTGAGGGGAGGAGGAACCTCTTCAGTTCTCTTTGGAAAACAACTTCCAACACGCAATTCGGTGCCAGAGGCACAAAACCCAAATCTCATCTAATCAAAACACTGGATGGAAAACTGCACCGCTTGGGGGAAATCATCAGTACACATCCAGTCTGAATTAGGGGAGATCGAAAAAAATTCCTGCAGCGGGACAAAGATGCAAACAACTGGCGTGTTAGAAACAGCAGTCACGAGCGCAGCGCGGAAGCCATCAATCGTTCCTCCTGCACTGTCACAAAACAAAGGACACAGAGTACATTGTTTCACGCAGCAGATAAGAAAGGTTATGTAATGACACAGATCAAATCCAAAGCTATAATCTCTAACCTTCCTTTTCCGTCCTAACTGTTTGGCTGTTTTCGGAGCCGGCTCCCCCGTTCTTGCTCGTGGGCTTTACGTAATTACTACACATGACCGCTATAATTTATAGCTGTAGCAGCTTATCTCAAGGCAGAGTTCAGGCTGGGAGCTTAGGCAATTCCACACAAAACATTACAGAGATGTCAGGATTAGCTCAAACAGCTGGTGCAACCTGGGTGCTGTTGAACAGCAAGGAGGAAGCTTATCCAGGTCTTCAGCCATTTATGCATCTCGACGCAGAGTTTGGGGACCCCCTGGCTTTGTGTACGCGAGAAGGAAGGCAAAAATCTCACATCAAAACAAAATCCCACGTTTCTGCACCAATCATAGCAGAAAAAAACACTTTTGGATTGCATCAGGAACTCAGCACTAACATCAACACACGCCTGTTACTAAGCCACAAATGTTCTGTACAGCTTTTCTGCACAATGAAGTTTTGAGGTAGCCAATACACAGACACTGAATCTTAGTATTTCTAGGAGTAATTAAGAGTTAGTGCAGACATCTGCAGGGCCTCATCCATGCCCTACTAACCTTCCCTGACAGCTGTTCCTTGAGGGTGTAAGCATCAAAAGAGGTTTCCTTCTGATGGAAAGCTTTTTAAAATGCAGAACATAAGCAGCTGTTTACAGCTACGTGCATCACCTCTGAGAGCTTACTTACTCTTCCCTAAATAGAAAAATCATGTAAAAAAAAACCCCTTGATAATTTTAAATACCTGCTGTGGTGGTGAAGAATTAATTGCAACTATATTCAGTTTTAAATACCCAGCCCCTCTCTTGTATACATATACAGTGCCCAGGTTGCAAAGAGCTTCCTGTAAGGGACACAGCCAAGTTAAACACTTGGTACGAACCAGACCAGTGTTTGGGAGCAGGTTTCACACAACAGTTAATGCCAGGACTGCCAACACATCAGATAATGCTTTATTTACATAAAATAAAACACAGGAGGACTGTCCTTTGCTAGGAAAACCAGTGACTGTACCTGGTGTGGAACAAGATGCCTGAGCACAAGCTGAAAGTGAAGACAAAACAAGTTCTTACCCTCATGCCGAGCACCAAAAATCCAATCTCTTCCATCAGCGGATACTTGCTGACCTGCTGCTGTATCTTCTCCACTGAAGCATACGGATCATAACTTTTCTGACCTATTTTTACATCCATTATGCAAGGCTTGTTAAACTTGCGGGTCACATCTTCCAGTTTTAGATACGTATCTGTCAAAAAACCAAAACTTTTGTCAGAACCAAGACTTTTGCCAAGGTGAAAGCAAAATAATAAGCAGAGCTTTAGCCAAGCTCCTTGGGAGGAAGGTGAACAGTTTAAGGCTTAACATCACATGAGTTTTAATTTATGAGTCAGATTTATGTCCAAACACTGACACCTACAAATTCTGTTGGTATGAAATTCTAAATGCTTTATTGTTCACGGCATGCACAAAGGCAACACAGCCTCAACACAGGTCTAATTCTTCGCATCTGCTTCTTCAAATCCACCTGTCAACCAGGCACAAACTTAAACTCTGGTTTTCTTTCTAGCATAGCCTATTCAACATGTGTATTTCTTTGACTTAATGCAGTCCAAATACATAAACATTGTATTATTCCCCATTCCTGCAGCACGATCTAAAATGAAATTGCCAAAGCAAAAAAACCAGTTCAAATTTAAAAAGAGCAAAGGCACGAAGTGTTTTTTGTTTGAAAGCTGTACAGCCAGGTAACAAAACCAGTCAAGAGTCAAGACAAAGTAAACAAGCAATGTTTCATTTCCCCTAACAAGAAGAAAGAAATTACAGGGACTTTTATTATTTTATTACTTTATTACTATGAGAGCTTCAATTTTTACACCACCATGATAACCGTCATGAAATGTTCCAATTTACACCATCATGAAATGTTCCAATTTCCCAAAGCGTGTACTTATCAGTCTGAAACAGGTTTAATTTGAGCCTGAGATGCCTGTTTTGTGTATGAATGGGACTGGGCAACTTGTGAATGCAAAGTCATTCTCAGGAAATATCGACTAGCTCACCCACTAACTAACAACTGCAGGAATACATCCAAGCTTAAATAACTTGTAGCTCATTTTGAGGAGCCCCAGGCAGCAAACATGCTTGGTATTTGCTCAGGGAATATCCCCAAGGAAGAAGCAGGACAAATATTCTCCATACCAGGCAGTGTATTCTGTATCAGGCAGGTGCCACTTTTACTACTTGGAAGTTATACAGAGGTCTAATTCAGTCAGATATTAGCACAGCTTTTGCAGGACTTTGGGGAACCACTCCCAAAACCTGGGGAGTCCATAAAACCTGTTAGCTACCTGTTATTAAAAATTGTTAAAAATCCGTCATCCTTCACATCAATCCTTCTTGCACACTACAGAAATCCCTGCAAATGACAGATTTGTGTCACCATTCTAAAACAATCCAGGAAACAACTAAATGAAGTTCAACGTTTTCAGAACTCAGCTCTCAAAAGCACAGAGCCACAGGTTTGCCATGCGAGGTGAGGAAAGACAATAAACACAAAAATATCTCAAAAAAGGCTGGCAGTCCTTCTCCACCAACCCCAAAATGCTTTGGATCACGTTGTGAGCGCTCTGGACTCAAACTGCTACAAATACGAAATTACACAAATTGCAACTTGCCACAAATGATACAAATTGTTTAGATGCAATGTTTTCATCGACTCATATAAAACATAACCATATAGAAAGTAGTGTAAAACATTTCCATATTTCCATGAGCACCCATGGATATCCCCCTGTCCACTGCTCCACTGGTCTACTTCCCTCTTTTTAACCATACAGCACCAACATTCAGCACCTCCCAAATATTTGAAAGTCCTAAATATCTGCCACTGCTTAGTTCCTCATTAATTTCAGATTTGTTAAACTAGACTATCTTACTGACCTCCTAAAAAACGTAACAATAGCTATTTTTAAAAAATGAAGCACTAAAATAGCTTCACAGCTAACACCAGCCCTGGGAAATACTAATTATTTGGCAAAGCCCGTGAATTATCCAGAAATTACCCATCTCTCTCGCACTTTTTTGGAATTATTTAAGTCTTTCTCATTAGGTAACTGCTGGCTCAGAATTAGGACTGTTCCATTTGTTCAGTGCACGTCTCTGCTCACACAAAGCTGCCTGGCCTTGTGGGCAGAGCAAAGCCACCCTGGATAAAGCATCACAACGAGTCATTTTTTTCTCGTTACAGCTTCAGGAAAACAGATCAAGTGCTTACACATGGGTGTATTTGGTAATATTTTGGTGCTTATTTGCACCATATATATCATTCATCACAGACTTGCCCTGCCCACTTCTATTTACCAGTGGTGGGAAGATGTGGCTTGACATATTATTTACATATTTTATTACAGACCCGAAGGAGACAAACCAAAAGACCACCAAAAATTCAGCAAGCATGTGTTGGATGAACCACTTCAGCACTGTTAAGTGTAGAAGAACCTTCCAGAAGATTCATTTTGAGGAGAGAAGGGTTTATGTCGCTCAAGAAAGCTTTCCTGACTGGGAAAGAGACATCTCCTCAGGAATGTCTTATGTGTTTTCTCCTCCTCCATCCCAGAGAGGCTGACTCCCAGGTATGAGAGAAGATACGTCCCTGCAGATGTGCCTGAAGGCCCCCACAGTGGTGGGGGGCAGATGAACGATAAACAAGCACCGAGGAAAAACAGTGGGCGTGTTTTTTTCATGCAGGTAGTGCTGTCATGTCAGTGTTGTTGGCTTTCAGAGATAAATTCTCCTACATCCTTCCACTGCCTGGTCCTGGGGGTACCTGCATGTAATCTTTGCCTACAAGCACAGATACACCAGGGTATTCAGTTCACACTGCAGACAGAAGTGACAAAATCACTGCAGGCATCTGATTGATTTTCGTAAATTAGAAGACGTCTCTCAAAACACAGAAATAAACAGAGAAAAGCCTCAACTGCCTGTACCAACAAATGAAGAAAAGAAAGATTTGAAGCTGGGTTATGTTTATCTACCCTGTTCTCAGGTTAGGCAACAAAATTAGGCAAGGGTATGAAGTGAGCAGCAGTGAAGTCACTTAAAAAAAAAAAAATAAATAAAAGCATGGGCAAAAAGTAGGTAGCCAAACCCAGAAAACTCAGCAGCAGATGGCTCCTACATCTTTATAACAATTCTTCCACTTCTTTGTGAATGAACTCCAAAAGCCCACAATGCCAGGGAAGGTAAAGTTCAAATCCAACCAATTTTAGATAAGCTTAAGGAGACAGCATCTCATCCACCTCTACCTCCATTTCAGCAGAACAGGACAGTGTTTTTACAAACTGTACTGAAACTGGAATGTCATCTTTTCTGTCATACACCCTATATTTTCATTTACATTTCATACATTTCACCCTTTTTAGATAGCAATTTCATCCATTTCTCTACTTTTTCAGTATGGAAGACTGGTGGTTCTTCCTAAATATTTCTGTGAGGAAATAAATTGCTTGTGTTCTTCACCTTATCCACTGCAGTTCCTGCTTACCTGCCACATGGAAACTCACATGAGAGAGGGTCAAAAATCAAGCTCAGAGTGGTCCTAAATTAAGTTTTGGTTTTTTTTCAGAAGTCACCAGGTCCAGTTTACCAACAATAGGGAACTACTGGGTTCACTGCCCAGAGCTTGTATGGAGCTGTGTCCCCAGAGCTTGTAAAACAGTGATTGCCAATGGAAAGGTCAGGCTTCCAATGTCAGGGCTGCAAAAAACCTACAAATATATCCTCAATCTACAATTAAGAACAAGACACACATGCATTCTGCTAAGCTTCATCATCTCCAACATCTGTGATTTCTATCAGGACTACACAAAGCTCATTAATATTACAGATAACAGAGCTGGCAGTGCAGTGTTTTGGTTGAACTGCTGCCACAGCTTTCTATGAAGAGGGCTCCTGTTAGTGCACAGTGTTTCCAAGAAGAAAACCAAACAAAATCAAAAGTTACTCTTCCTTTAAACCATTATTCCTACGTCTGGATGACTGGTGGAGACCTGCCAAAATTCAGCCCCAGTGGTGCAGAGCGCTAGTGAATTCCCAAAGCAAATGAGGGTTGTGTTGAATTACTAGATCCTGGCTAGATTTTTATTTTTAGTTTTACATCTTAAGATCATACTGCAAATAGAAAAAAAAAATTATTCACAATTGGAAGGGGGATAGATATTAAGTGGGCTCCATGACACACATAACGTTGTGAGGGAAGGAAAAATATAGCTCTGGTAGAGCTATTTGAGGTAGTGCCAAACAGGAAAGCGTGAAGGCAAATCTGAGCCAAGAAAGTGGCGGTACTGCCACAATCTTCCCTGATTTCTTCTTGCAGAGATTAGACCACATCTTTGGGCTCTGTCTCGCTACTCTCTTTGGAAAACAAGTTTATCAAGTGACAGCACAAGCAAAAGAAGACAGAGCTATTTTAAAGGAGCACAGCATCTAGTTTTGCTGCCCATGTATTTAAACAGACTCCACATCATCCCTTTGTTTCTGTAGGTTCTGGAAGCTCCATTTCCCCCGTGTGAATCAGAAGAGTCCCCAGAAGAAAAGCTAACCGGCTGTTAGAGGGGACATTTGTGGGTTACAAAACAAGACCAATGAAAACCTACAGAGCTCACAACTGCCAGAGATCAGGCTCCAGAAGATACTTCCAGAATGCATGGATTAACAGATAAAATTAGAACAGTACCATTTGGTGCAGTAGGTGGTGACCAGACACCGAAGTATTTTGGCAGATATTTCCGCAGCTCCAGAAGAATGCTGTCACAACAGTCGGGGTCATAAACCTGAAAAGAAATTAGGGAGGGTTGGAAAAATCATCGCTTGAAAACATTCATTTTATAGTTCTGATTGTCCCCTAATTATATTTTCTTACAGTCTTTGTTCTCACAAGTTTATGATTTCTACTGTACATTTAAACAACACACAAGATCTGCAGATTTGGCTCAGCTCATTGTGCCAGACCACATTTAACCACAGTAGGGGAACACCTTGTGATGGCAACTCCAGTGGGGAGGTATCGCAAAATACGTGCCTGTATTGCTGTAATGTTAATACAAGTAGGGAGAAAAGGAACAAACCTGTAGTCCAGCTGCAACTTCAGAGAATCAAGGCTAAGCCTTGGCTATCCTCACAGCGCCAGGTAACTCTAGACAGAACCTCACACAGCAGCAGAGCACTAAATTAGTTAATGTAGGCCTGTGCTAAATTCAGGTTTCGCTGCAGAAACCTCAAACTCAAAGGACCAGTGTGTTTCTAACACAGGGCTCTCCTGGGCTTGCACCAACTCTGACACCTTCACGCCAGCACCATTACTGGGCAGCACTCAAAAACACGAGACACCCAAATCCACACCAGCTGCACGCCAGAGTAACGAATTTGACCCTTTCCTTTAACTAGCTCGTGGTACGTGCCCCACTTTCAAGATCCTAAGGAAAGGGGCTGAGACCTCAAAGCCCAAAGCACAGGAATAGGTGCACAGCGCATTGCAAAACAGCGGCACACGCCCACCACCGCACCCTCTGCCACCACCGCTGCTATCTTAAGCACACAGAAGTTGCTGAGCGCGTATCTCACAGGTCACAGCCACACCACAGGGCACTGATCTCTCTCCACACGTCATGATTTAAGGAGCTGGCCCAACCTCTGAGGATGACACATAATTGTACGCCCAGGCCCAGCTTTCCTCCGTGTCAAACACAGGCTGATATGCTGGTGTGCTGTGCTCTGAGACAAAAAGCCTTGCCTGCTCCTGGAATCACTGGTTGCTGTGTATTCACGCAACATTTCTTCGCTGAGCCTCAGGCATTGCCAGCAGAAGACAGTGCCTTCTCCAGGAGACTGCAATGTAGCTTGATCTTAGCAGTTTAAGTAAGAAAAAAAGAAGGGTGGGAGAGAACAGAAAGATTAGCACCAGGCAGATGCTGAGGCACAGACCTGATTACTTCTATCTTTTATAGCACTTTAGTGTTCCCCACTGTACAGACAGCTGTTCCTGGGCCAGGACCCCAAGCACTGACAGGTGGCATTACTTCATGCTGTAAGCATTTTCAGATAAACAGTAGAAACTCAATTTTTGTTTACTGTGGTAGTTTATGATCACAGCACTTCACGGCCAAGGTAGGGACCTGCACTGGGAGAGCACAAACGCTCTTTTGCCAGGTGAGTTCATGCAGATCTGGGAGGCAGTGACAGTGATGTGGCCATCATGCAGTGTCACAGCCCTTACACACCAGCAAGTACATATATTTAGGTCATGACCAAGAGGAGAGAGGTGGAAACCAAAAGTGCAGCAGGCAAGGAGAAGAAACACCAAATGCAACTGAAAAAAACCAGGCAAACAGAGTAACTCAATTACTTAATCTATTGGAAAAAGATTCTGAGAAAGTGAAATGTCAGGAAACCACTCCTGATTTTTAAAGAGGCAGTACCCTTGACTTACTTTTTATCATCAGCTTTAGGCAACTGAACTTAGCAACTTAACAAGTAACATCAGGATACGACAAAGATACTCAGATAATTTACAATGGGGCATTGTAGGCCAAAGTCAAAATCAAATGAAGAAAAGAGCTCCAGAAGCCACATCTTCCAAGTACTCTATTCCTTAATACAGTGACATATGACATTTTAAATGGAGACAGAACTCCCAAGTAATGCATTTTTCAGTATCACTACTCTGATGTAACAGAACTAAGTGCATTACTTCTGTCTCTCAAGAAGTTGTCTCACTCCCAGAACCAGTAATAAACTCCCTTCATAAGTCTGACATAACATACACAAAGCCCTTATAATATGGTAATATTCCAATTTCACTTCCAGCAACAATGCTTTTTTTCTTTTTAATGTAACAATAGTTCCACTTCTCCAGAATATACTGACAAATACAAGCAATTCCCAACTACCAGTACAACATTCTTCACCCAACAAATCGAGAACTGCAAAATAATTCTGCCAGCTCATCTTGGAGAGGTATCCCTTCTGCGTATCATAGGCTACATTCTTCTGATAGCACAAGCTGCACACAGAAAATGTAATAACTGCTGGACTTAAAAGCAAGTAAACAGGATGCTGACATTTGGAGGGCTTACAACATGACCACTGCAAATTACAGTCACTAACTCACAGGAAGAATATGCCCCAGACATGTGGGAGCTCAGATAGTCTAAAAGACCCCATGAAGTCATAATTTCCAGTCACTCAGGACTTTTTAATTCCGAGGCAAATTCACCATCCCTAAGTTTTCAATCCACAGTGTTACTGTTTTGGTAAGCGTGTTCCAAACAGATTCATCTGTTTTTTAATGCAAACAGGGGCGGCTTGGGACAATGGGAATGTTCTTTTCCTTATTTAAAGCAACATGACATTTGGGTTTGTTTTGTTTTCTAAAGACTAGCTAATGACATAAATGACAGAGGGAGGATAAAATAAATGTTTAAACTTCAGTAGGAAATTAGTTCTGGCAGTACAGACCTGTCTTAAATTGTTCTGATGAAAAGAATACCACTTTGACAGAAAAGTAACCTATAGAGAATCTTCTGAAGTATTCAACAGTTAATTTAAAAGAATATATATTTTTTTTTAAACTCACATTTATTGTAAAGCTATTTGAGTAGGAAACTTTAAATGCCAGAGTGGGCGTATCAGTCTGAACCATCACCTTCCTTTGTTGCCAGCTATCATAAACTGTCCCTAAAGGCAGCAGCACTAAAGCCTGTGGTCTCAGCAAACACAACCAGCTGCCAACATCAGGCAGACAGTTCAGCCTCCAGTGTGGGGTTTTTTGGGGGATTTTTGAGCAATTAATGCAGCTCAGTCATGCGCTTAAATTAGCAAAGGCAAGATTTACAGATGACAGTGCAAGCTTAGTTCCCTCTCCCATTGGGTATGTGTTACATCGCAGATTTTAATTACTCGAGCACACACTGCATTTCCCCCTGGACTCCTACATCACCCAGTTACACCAAGCAAGTGCAAGGGCCAAAAATATGAGGCTGAAACAGCAGCCTGTGATTTTAGCAATTTGTATCTGCTTGGCTTTACAACTCTGACAGCCCTGGCTTCTTTTCGAAGTGGCGCCATCATGGTCTGACTCACAAGCGTCCATAATATTTGTTTTTTCATAAGCACGACTGGCATTGAGCCAGCTCTGCTTATACTGAAAATGCCTGACACCAGGATAATTTCAAAAGTTCAGGATTTGTGAATGGTGTGATATTAAACGCTATTATATCAAACTTATTTTACTATCCAATACATGAGACTGCAATCATTCTCACTGAAGGTAGCTACAGAAAGAAAGATAAGTTTAGATGAAAGCTAGGATCTGTTTCCACAATCTGACCACATAAATGGGTTTTCAAATGAAGATGGCATACACTTGTGACAATCATACCCTTCTTCCAGGAGTCAGGAAAAAAAAAAAACACATTATAGCAAGGGGGTTGGCAGTCTCACCTTCCAAAAAACGAAGGCCGTGAAAATAAGCTTCAAAAATCTCCCAAAGAGGCACTTATTTGATCATGTTTATCAACCAGTCATTCTCTAACAATGCCAAAAACCCTGCAGGTTAAGACATACTACCATTGGTCATCTGATAAGGAACTTCCAATTTTAACATACTAAATACTTCACCCATTCTTACTTATTTCTTATTTCTTTGACAACACTTATCCAACAGGGCTGGAGAGACGCTGACCTGAAGTTACCCACTGCAAAACTCAAGCTACCAGCACCGGGAGAGAGATCCAGCAAATTTCAAGGCAGAGAGTCAAGTACTTGGTCTTGCAGAAGTACAGTTCAACCAGTTTTTCTCATCTGTCTTCACAGCTACTGTGCCAAAAGACACGTTGTTACTGCAAGGCACGATGTTGTGCAACACCAGCAGTGCTTGGGATTTTGAGGGAAGACTAAACCTGGTCAGAAACCACGACCTTGGCACGTCCAAGCTCACAGATGCAAAAGTGAGTCGAATAAAGCCAGCAGCCAGAGAGTTTTCAGGCAAATTTTCTGCCCTAAGAATAATTTTTTTAAGCTACTCCAACCATTCAAGATTAAATTACCACTGAAATTACTGGAAGTGGAATGGTAGAACATCAGGACAAAAGGGGAAAGAAGCCAATATGGCTGTTCCACTTTCTGAGAACATCCAGCCTTACCCTTTGCTTCTGGAAAGCGACCTGATCCCAGCTGAAGATTCCCAGATAGAGGTGAGAGAGAACAAAGGTTGGGGGAAAATCCTGAAGAAGCAGTTCCACTAAGAAAAGCAAAATTTAATTTTACATTTCAAAGAGACAGAAATGGGATTCAAGTCCTAACAGACTCATATCACAAGCCTGGGGTTTTGGTTTTTTGGGGGTTTTTTTTGTGGGGTTTTTTGGTGGTTTTGTTTGTTTGTTTGTTTTTAAATCTGGAAACTAGAACTCTTTTCAGAGACAGAATTTATTTTGCTTTTCTTTCAAGGAGGCAACCTACACTTTCCTCAATCCCATACTGGCAGCTCACCAATTGTATCTTACCTTTAAATGAACTTATAATGAACACAGTTTTTTCTGTATAACACTAACATGTATCTAAGTAAGTGGATCCATATTCTGATACATTCATAAATGAAGTCTAAACAGTATTTGATCCAGTCTGAAAAAGCACTTGCATGACCCTCCAGCAGAGAAGGAGCACTGTACTGTATCTTAACTCAATTTAACATATTGTGCACTTTAAAACCGCATTTTTGCTTTATTTTCAGCCAGGTCTATTCTCAGGAATGAACCTTCCTCAAAATCAGGTTGCT